TTTTTTTTTTTTTTTTGGCAGAACCGGGGATTGAGCTCAGGCCCTTGCGCTTGCCAGGGAAGCACTTATTCCACTGAGCCATCTCCCTGGCCCCCACTGGTTAGAATTCTTAATGTAACAGAGCTGAATCCAAATCAAAAAGGCTATGATTTGAAATCTATATTTTTACAAGTGTCCCAGCAGATTCTTTTTTTGTTTTTTCTTTGGACTATTTTCTTTTTTGGTACCAGGAATCAAACTCTGGGCCTAGCGCTTGCTAGACAGGTGCTGCACTGAGCTACATCCCTGGCCCTCCTAGCAGATTCTTATGTGCTATTAGGTTTGGAAAATTTTTTTTTTTCTTTTTTTTTCTTTTTTTGCATTTTAGGGAAGGATCTACAGGGTGTTCAGGGTCTCACTACTAGATTGGACTCCTAGTTTATAGCCTCCCAAGAGCTGGGATTACAGGTGCGCACTACCACGCCCAGTCTCAGTTGCCATCTCAGCTTACCCTGGGGGCGGAGCTTGCACAGCAGACCCGGGGTGGAAAGCTTTTTAAAGGTTAGCTCTTTCTAATAAGCATTTACTGATTACCTTGAATTTACAGTGGTTCACTTATCATGGAGGCTATATTCCAGACACTCCACAATAAGTGAAAATCAGTGAAGTAGTAATGTTGTATTTGTTCTAGCATTTATATATATTGTAAGCCTTTTAAACCCTTCCCACACTCTCATAAACCTTGCCAACACTTTTTAGAAACACTTCTAATGCTCTTAGCTGTTTTCTAAACTCGTAAACCTATGTAAATTTGGCAACATACATATACAGTACCGTACACTACCACAAAATCCTGTGATAAAGGGAAAAATCCACAATAAATAATTTAGATTGATACCTTTTGAAAACCTGTGAAATACTGAGCCCATGAAAGTTGAACCACAAAATAGCAAGGGACTACTGTATGTTAATGTTGATGTTTGTGTTCAAATGAACTTAAAATTGAAGGTAAAAGTTCATAGTACATTTTGACAGCTAAAGATGATCTAAAGTCTCGTATACTGCAGTGGAGAAGAATATTTTTTCTGTAGCATCAAGTTTTATGTATTAAACACTTACTAATAAAATTTATTTATTTATTTGTTTGTTTATTTCTTTTTCTCCACTTCCACCCCAAGTGAAAAGTTTAGGAGGATTTTTTTTTTTTTTTTTTTTTTTTGGGCTGGCCCAGGATGCCTTAAGGGCTGGTCTGGAAAGGCATGAGGATCTGGGGATCGAACCACAGTATCCTGAGCCTGACTGCCTTTGCTTAAGCAGGCACTTAAACAACTGAGCGAATGGGCAGGACCCTTAAACACTTAATAATAAAATTTGAGCAGCATTCAGTGGAATCTTTTTTTAAAATGTTCATCCTAGAGCCAGGGATATGGCTCAGCAGAATAAGCATGTCCCTGACAAGTGCAAGGATCTGAGTTCAATTCCCAGTTCTGCCAAAAAATTAAAAAAAAAAATATTCAACCTAAGAAGAATTCACAACATTAGGAAAAATCAGACTTTCAAAAATGTGAAGATGCTTAATGAAAGTTTTTATTGTAGATATACTCCAGAACAAAAGGAACACAGATCCCAATTTAAGAGGGGTTTCATGCAAGGGCATATAAATAGGCCAGAAAAAGAAGAAAAAGAAGCAATCTATAAGGAACGCTGGCCAGATTATGTGAGAGAACTGCGAAGAAGGTAGGTTTATGTAAAGATAAGAATGTGGTGCTAAATGATTAAAACAACATTGAGGTTGGACTCTAGAGTCCCTGCCGTGAGGAAGAGGTCCTACAGAGATGGTGAAGCTGTTGTTCAATACCTCCGTAGCTTCATAGCTTCACATTCATGTTCTGTTTTCCCAGCAGGCATCATTGTATGCAGGAGCTGTGATGGGGCTGCCCTGTCTCCTCCCTGCCTCCTACCTCCAGTGGGTGTTGGGTTTGGGAATGACCTTGGTAGGAGAGTCACCACTGGTCTTGGGTTACTTTTAGCCTAAAGGCTAGACCTAGAGTTGGATCACTTTTATCTTTCCAGTGAAATAAATGTTTTTTTCAACTTAACAAAGGTGAGGTTAAGTCAGTTTTTGTATATGCTTGAAGGAGTGTATCAGCAAGATGATTAGACTTACATTACAGTAGTTCTATCTATAATGTTTTTCCATTTACAGATTTCATTGTAAGCAGTTATACCTGATTAAACCAAAAGAAGCTTTATGAGGTATTTCATGATTTTTATATTTAATTTTAATAGGTACTCTGCAAATACTGTAGATGTTTTGGAAAGGATGGATGATGATAAAGTTGATCTGACTTTAATTGCTGCCCTAATCCGGCACATTGTTTTGGAAGAAGAGGTTAGTTTTAATATTTTTTTTTTATTTTCTTTCAAGTAACATACTTTAAATTTTATTAGTATGCTAAGGTCATGAAAAATAATTTCTTAAATGCTTTTATAAAATAAGCTGTAGAAGGAGCTATTTTCAGAAATAGTCTCAAGATGTTTGGGCAGTTATTTAAAGAAAGGACTAAACGAATAAGATCTCTGGATTATAAATCTTGTTTTTAGAAGTCAGCTGGTAGTTTTTAGGTAGTAATTATATTACCTAGAGCTGGTATAATTTTAATGAAAACTTAATTTGCACAGATTTTACTGTTAGTGTATTTTGTTGATATGATCTTTTCTAATGGCTATTTCCTTTCCATGTAGGAGGGTGCAATACTAGTCTTTTTGCCAGGCTGGGACAATATCAGTACTTTACATGATCTTTTGATGTCACAAGTGATGTTTAAATCAGGTATTGTGTCAGTGTATTTTATTACAATTTCAAGAAAGATATTTGAATCATATAGTTTGCTTTTCTTCTATGATTTGAAGTATTGCCTCTTAGGCTTCCTCAATGTAGAGATTTGATTTTTTTTTTTTTGAGATTTGATGTTTTAAGTCTAGATTGCCTTTCTTTCATTTTGCTTTTATTTATTTTTAAGATGTCTCTGTTCTAAAGTTTAAAGTCATAAATGAATTTGCTGTGTACATAGTGAAGCACCTTATTTAGTGTTATGAAGAGAGTATTTTAGTGCTTTTTCTAAATTTACCTAATAAAATTAAGCATTAAAGTTAAAATGTTGGATAGGGCTGGCCAAATAGCTCAGCGGATTAAAACACCTGTAAGCAGGCGCAGGGCCTGGGGTTTGGTCCCCTGGCTTGCTGTTCCTAGCTTCGCCCACCGGGATATGCTGAGATGTTCATTGAGATTGGGCGATGATTGAGACTGGGCATGGTGGCACGCACTTGTAATCCCAGCACTTGGCAGGCAGTAAACAGGAGAATCACAAGTCCAATCTAGTAGTGAGACCCTGAACACCCTGTAGACCCTTCCCTAAAATACCAAAAAAAAAAAAAGGTTAAAATCTTGGCATTTAAAATTTTTGTTTTTGCATTCACAAGGAGTTTAATTAGTGGGATGGATAGAGTTAGAAAAGATTACCCTTTTTGTGTTGTTGTTTCGTTTGCAATACTGAGGATTAAATCCAGGGTCTTGCCCCTGCTAGGCAAATGCTGTACCACCCAACTATACCCCCAGCTCTTTTATTTATTTATTTATTTTATTTTGAGACGTCTCACTCTTTGAGTCCCTTTCCCTTCGCCTCATCATCCTGTGTAGCTGTTACTGCAATTTCAAGAAAGATACTTCAAACATGCGTTTATGACTTGAAGTTTTGCCTCTTAGGTGTCCTCATTATAGAAATTGCCTGTACCAGTATACCTGTTCTACTCCCAACTTTTAAGCATTCTTCAGGAATGTAGACAAAATGTTTATCAGTGTAAAATAAATTAAAATGTCATCTGAAACTTGCTGAGGCATTCGGAGAAAGTATAAGGATTTTAAGTTGGTTTGATTATACATAGAAATACAAATTTTAAGACTCATATAGTTCATCAGGTGAATTCATTGTTCTATGTTTAATAGGCCTTTTCTATATCTTTAAAGCTTAACTTGTTTTTAAATTTTCAGATAAATTTATAATTATACCATTACATTCATTGATGCCTACAGTAAATCAGACACAGGTATGTTGTTCAGTGTATTTGTTTACTTTGAAGCTGAAGTATGTTTTGCAGACTTTTTTGTGTTTTAATTTTTTTTTTTTAAAGAAGCAGGTACAGAGTAAATCCATATGAAAAAATATTTGCTTGAGTATCCTAACAAATGCTGCTTCAGGGACGACTGTGTAAAAAGTTGACTAACAAAGGAGAATCCAATAATCAAATTAGTTTTGTTGACATTAGGGAAAAGTTTATAAAGAATTGATTTCACCAATAATATGCTTTGGTTTCCTGAATAAAAGAAAAAGAGTATGCAGGTCACTTAACCTAGAAATTAATCATCTGTGATACACTGAACTTGAAGTTTGAGATTTTATTTTGCACTTTATACCTTAGTGGGTATGAGATTTCCTGTTCATTAATAATATGTGTTTTGGCTCTGTGAAGTACAGGGATTTCCATAATTAAAATGAATATTTCATTGTTAGATAAAAGGTCATTTTTTGAGCTACATTATTTTTAGACCCTGGGACATTTAAATGTATCAGAAAAGCTATAATTTTTGCCTGTCTCAGTTACTTTTCACCCCTTGCTGGGACAAAATACCGAACACCCAAAATTAAGGATTAGTGTAGCTTTCAGTCCTTACTGGCCTGGTTCCAAGGCAGAGGGTAGCAGAAAACAGCAAACAGCAAAGGGAGCGATAGCAGCTGTGGCTTCTAGCAAGCCTCGCTCCCCTTCTTACCATATAAGCCGGCTTCCCTGGGTTAGGGGTGTAAAACTCAAACAATGTCCATGGCTTCTTCTTGCTCAGGATGAAAATGTTTACAAGGTAAAAAGCCTGGCTCCCTGCAGAGTCACTTAATTAAACTTTTAAACTTCTCAAGTTGACACAACACATCAACCAATCACCCTCGTAGTTTTTACACCTTTTTTTTGCAGGAAAAAAAAAAGATTTAATTTACTGTTAGTCCTGGTTAAGACTGAGACAGCCGACTGAAATATAGAGTCCATATGTGAGGGAAGAGAGGGGCAAGAATTCACTTTTGATTCCCAAAGACTGGAAAGAAAAAGAGTGTAGGTATTTCAGTTTTTACTCTCAAACCTAGTAAGTGTATATTCTTTCGCTGGAGTGTATGTGACCTGACCAGGAAACATTCTTCTTTGAGTACTATTTTAATAAATAAATGGATAGATCATGCTTTTCCTTCTTTCTTACTTGCTTGCTTGCTTGCTTGCTTTGTAGCCATTGACACTTGAATAAATGTCTTTCTTCTTTGGTTCTTTGGTTGCATTATGAGGGGTAGATGGTATTTTTTTGTAGGGTTCAGTATTCAAAGAGCTTTTTATTTTATTACTCCAGTATAAGTGCAAATTATAATGGTACCACCAGTTTACCTCCTTTTGAGAGATTAGGCATTGATGTTCTTACCTATGTAAATTTTATCTCACAGTTCTTATCATTAAAGTCCTTTTTCAGTGCTTCTTTTGTTGAACTATATGCTATAAATTCATACGTTTTATTTGAAATCTGTAGGAGCTGATTTACCAAAAGAATTTTATGATTTTTATTTCACAAACATAACTAAATAAGAGATACATATGTTAGTGATTGAACAGAGCACTAAAATGAATGGAATCTGAAGTAATTATAGTAATGTACCAGAAATTAGTGTACACTTAGGATTTTGATTTATTCATTCTTACAGGTATTTAAAAGAACTCCTCCTGGTGTTCGGAAAATAGTAATTGCCACCAACATCGCAGAGACTAGGTAAAAAGTTGTAAATATAAATTATTGATGCATACAGAAGTTTTAAGCCTTGTAAATTATTAGTATAACTTTTCTTTTTTCTGTATAAGATACTTGCAGTTTCTTAAATGTCTTTTTTTTTTTTTTTTTTAACTTAGCCATGGTTGTAACTATACCTTTATTTTCTGGTTTTGTTATAGCCTGTATTCTTATAGCCCTTTCATCGACATGGCCTTTTAAGTGTTTTTTTCCAATGCTTTTTAAAAAAATTTTTATTTTATTTTTTATTTCTTTTCCAATGCTTTTGTAAAGAAGCATGGGAACTGAGGTCAGTTTGGTCCTTGTTGCCTAGTCTTCATTTGGGTATATTATTTGATAATTATACATAGTACTTAAAACTATTCTGTACCCTTAAGGTACTATGTATAGTTTAATCACTGAACAAATTATTTTATAGCTGCTGGTATTAAACCGTGAAACTTGGGGGACCCACATAATTAAGTGTAAAAAATATTGGGAAGGTTGCAAAGTTTGGCTCTGGGCAAGTAAGAGTTTAGTACCTGGTCTACAGAATTAGCACTGTGCTGTTGTCATTTTTAACTACCGAGCCTGCCCTCCATTAGTTGCTTGATCCCTATAATACTCATAAGTATGAGAAGAGTGGTAAAAATTCTCTAAAGACCATCTGTAGACTTACTACAGTCTAATAGTGATTTGGTGTGTGATACAAAATGGTGATTTTGTGCATCTATTTTCCAAACAGCATTACCATAGATGATGTAGTTTTTGTCATAGATGGAGGAAAAATTAAAGAGACACACTTTGATACACAGAACAACATAAGTACGATGTCTGCTGAGTGGGTTAGTAAAGCCAATGCTAAACAGAGGAAAGGTCGAGCTGGAAGGTAAGAATGGGACCTTTGTCCAAAGCATTTAGAAGTCCACAGAACTTTTCTGTAGTAAAATGTATCATTGTGATTTAAAAATATTAAAGAGTTAACCTTTCAAATTTTAAACTTAATATCACACAATTTTAAATGGGAAAAATTGTACTTTACAATATTTGGAAAAGTATCTGCCACATCTTCTAATTCCTAAATGTTTTTTATCTCTGGTTTCTTAATTCATTTAAGATCCTTTATGTTCCTGATTTTTGCATTCTGTTTTTTCATATTTATTACTTAATACAGTAAGTAATCATGCTGTTTGTGTGTTAGATTGCCACCTAACTAACTTTGCATAATTGTCCAGTGCTGTTAGGTAGGGAGGTTATCATCACCACTTTCAGAGTAAGAAAATGAATTAAAAAAAAAATATTTTGGTATCACAAGGTTTTGTGTAAGTAGAACCAGAATTTGAATCCAAGCAGTTTTATCTCCACAGACACTGATACATTGGTTACTGACCAGTGAGCTTGTTAATCACTTGATTTTTTTGCAAGTTGTTACCAAAATAAACACAGGAAAGTGTGTGTATGTATA